CCCCACTGTTCTACCTACAGAGGCAGGTGGGGGTGAAGCACCCACCATGTGAGGGGAGAATATTGGGTGTAGTCAAGAGAATGAATATCTTGACCAAATAGTGACTAACAGACCATGTGCCTGATGAATGGGGAGGCCTGTGGCCTCTTCTCCCACTCAGCAGCCAGTATCCTAAAGGCTTTCCTTTCCCTTCCAGCTAGAAATTGGAAGTTTAGTTTGGGGAATCTGTTCAGTCTAAGAAGAAAGCCCTAAAAATACTATCCTTAGAGGTTCCCCAGTAAACTTTTCAACCACATCACCCTATAATAAAGCTCACTCTTCTGTACTCATGGTGTAATACCTTTTTAATCTTCTACTCTTAAATATAAGCTGACAAGTATTATCATACCATCTAAAGAATGCACTTACTGTGGAAGACAAAGACCAAAACAAACAGAAAAGAAAAATATGGAGGAAGCAGGGAAGGGAAATCTTTTAAAAATTTAGCCCTGGCTTGTGTGCCTAAATGGTTAGAGCATCTACCTGGCCCTGTGCATGAAAGGGTTGTCGGCTTGACTTCTGGTCCAGGTTACCTACCTGGCTTGCAGGTCCGATCTGGCCCTGGTCGTGGCGCATGTGGGAGGCAATCAATCAATGTGTCTCTCTCACATTGATGTTTCTCTCTCTCCTCCCCCTTCCTTCCACTCGCTTTAAAAATCAATGGAAAAAATATTCTTGGGTGAGGATTAACAACAACAAAAAGTATCATTTCAGAGAGAAAAGTTATTTGAAGCATAAAACAAGATAAAAATGCTAGAAAAATAAAGATTTAGAGAAAAAGAAAAATCTAGGGTTAAAAATAAATCTGAGGAACCTTCCCCCAAAGGACAAAAAATACATAGGAAAGGAAATGAAATTGAAGTCCAGACTAAAGAGCCAATACTCTATAACAAAATTTTCCAAAAAGAAAAAAATGGAGAGAAAGAAGTATCAAAGAAATAATGTACCAAAAAGAGTTTTAAAAAATTTACCTCTTATGCTCCCTTTCTGAGAAAGCTACTAGATGATTTGTTCCAAAAAAGTTAGGGAGTCAAATCAAGAAAGGTCATATGGGATACAGGAGATAGGAAACCATGACAGGGGAAGGATGGAGATTATCCTCTGGACGATGATATAGAAAGTTTTTTTGGGTGATATCTGTGTGGCTGGCACAGGATAACTAGTCCATGTTGAAAAAGGTTGGACGGCTCCAAAGGTGACTTCTTCAGGAATATAAATTTGTCAAAATGTCTTATGTGTGTGAATATCTTGAGAGTAGATATAGACAAATAGCTAAGTGTTTGCTGTTGAATGAGTTATGTGTATATAGAAAACTAAACACTTAAAACAAAAGATAAGTTCTAATTCTAGGGAAACAAAGATTTGTGTAGTAAAGGAATTATAATATACTAGAGGCCCGGTGCACGGATTTGTGCACTGGTGGGCTCCCTTGGCCTGGCCTACACCCTCTCACAATCCAGGACCCCTTGAGGGATGTCAAAGGCCCGGTGCATGAATCCGGCCCTATCCCCACAGACCAGGCCAAGGGACCCCACAGGTGCACGAATCTGTGCACCGGGCCTCTAGTATGCATATAAGATCTTTGGTTAATCTCTTCCCGCCCTTCTTTGTCCCCCTTTCCCTCTGAGATTCATCAGTCTATTCCATAGTTTCCATGCCTGTGCGTTGAGTGTCTGCCCCCCTGGTGGTCAGTGCATGTCATAGCTACTGGTTGAATGGTTGAATGGTCACATAGGCTTTTATATATATACTAGAGGCCTGATGCACGAAATTTGTGCAAGGGACTCAGCCCTCGCAGCCCTGGCTTCGTCTGGAAGGTCATTCGGCTGTTTGGACTAATTAGCATATTAGCTCTTTATTATATAGGACTAGAGGCCCAGTGTGCAAAATCGTGCAAGACCCAGACCCGCCGCGCTGATGGGACCCCAGACCAGCCCTGTGTGAGCCGCAGGCCCCACCTCCACCACACGAGCCATGGGCCCCACTTCTGCTGCGCCAGCCCCGCCAGCCCTGCGTGAGCTGCAAGTCCCGGCCCACAAGAGGTGCTCCATGCACCTCCTGGTGACCGGTTGTTTGGTCGTTTCGCCATTACAGTGTCACAACCACAGGCCTTTTATGATATAGATAGATTATTATACATTTGTATCAAACTATATGATGTGAAACAATCAGAGTAAACTCTAATGTAAACTCTGGGCTTTGGATGATGGTGTAGGGTTTTTACTAGTATAGTGGGGCAGGCTGTGACTATGTGGCAGTAGGGGGTATATTGGAAATATCTGTACCTTTGGCCCCATTATGCTATGAACCTAAAACTGCTTTCCAAAGTCTGTTATAAAGCTCAAAAATGAGCCCACAGAAATTTAAATTCTGTTGAGACCTCCAATATTTGTAAAACTTTATATTCTGTCCTCAAAAATGATATATAGCTTTTCTGGGAGTATAGTTTTACATTGACAATCATTACCTTCGAAATTATGAAGAAACCATTCCATTGTTTTTCTGATTTTTATTGTTGCTATTAAGAAGTCTCAACTAAGTTGGATTTCTGCTTCTTTATAAGACCTTTTGTTGTTGCTGCTAATTGTACTTTCATCTATTAGCTTCTTTATTTCATAAGGATTTTTAATTTGGAGACTCATGTTCTTCATTACTGCAGTTTAAAAAATTTATTAGGTTGTTTCCTTGTCCTACCCTTTTCTGTTCTTTCCTTCTGTTTTCTTTCTTTTTCTTTCTTATAAAAAACATATTGGACTTTGTATTTATCATTAATTATTCTTTTCTCTCCTATTTTTCAGTTTTCCACCCTTTTAAATATTATCCTGTCTTGTTTTATGAGTATATATCCTTTTTCATTCTGGGCTTTTTTTTTTTAACTGCATAATTTCTAGTTTCTCCAAAAATTTTTACTTTTTGCCTTTTTAACTTTTATGTTTGAGTTTTCCCTTGGGTTTCAGTTAAATCTGGGCTTTCTGCTCATGTTTGTGTGCTGGAGACTGGTTGGGGGGTTTGAAGATGAAACTTGTTGACTGTGATCTTTACTGTAACATGACTGGGATGGACTGTGAATTTGGGGACCTCTGAAAAGAGTGTCCTCAGGACTTCTGTCTGGGGAGAACATTGTTCCACACTAACTTGGGCTCCAAGTTTAGGGAGGCATGGAATTCTCAGCATGTGTGTGTGTGTGTGTGTGTGTGTGTGTGTGTGTGTGTTTCATGTGATAAGTGATATCATTACGACTCCCATGCTGGATAGTAAATGTTGACATTTTGTGCCAGTACACATGTATTATCTTTCGTGGTTAAATATCATCTTAATGGGTATTTTTTATTAGTTCCATCTGTGCTTTTTTCTCTCTGCCTTTGTATTAATATCTTATTTTTTATAATTTCATTTTATCACTATTGATTTCTTATTCATAACTTAAAAATGTCTGTTTAGTGATTATCTGTGGCCTCATTTCTGGGTTCAAGAAAAAGTTGTGCTTGTATAGTTTACCTGCTGTTTCTTTTCAGAAATGAGTATCATTTTTTCCAACTTTCCATATCCTAGAGAAAAATGGAAGTCATCGTCAATGTTCTTGTGACACAGAAGTTCAAATGCAACGTGTCATGAAGCATGCATTGTTCGAACTCATTGTGAAAGCAAGGTTTTAATGTCAAAAATTACTAAAAACTCCATGAATAGTTGTAATATCATTCTATCCAATGAATGAAAAGTTTAGAATAGTCTTTCTGTCAAAATACTTAGCCTCTATTTCTAGTATATATTCATACCTGACCCATAATTTTTCATGATTCCCAGTGATCCTGGAGACTTTATGCAATTCATAGGCTGTTGCCATCTTGTTTAGTACATCACATGGCTGGCAGGGCACAGCATCAAGTAATATTCTTACCCCACCAGCCGGGATGGCAGGAGTAGCTGTTGCTATGGGGTCCTCTCAGTATTCACTTTGTGAGCATGTTGAGGGCTGTCCCCAGGTGTGCTCAGTATCCTGCCTCTGGGAAGAGTCAGGAAAAACGTCATTGCTAGTCATCTTTGGGATTTAACCACAGGTTAAAGAGAACACTGTCACTGTACATACATCTCCCTCACATACTGATAGATGAGATTGTACAGATGCTGGAAGTACAAAATAGAGGTTTTCCTCCGCTAGGTCTTCCCTGAAGCCCTCACATAGCATTAAGCATTTTATCTCCTGACCTACTTCTAGATTCCCTTCTAGGGCTACATCTGTCACATTCGGTAGCGAAATGTTTGTTATAAACCAGTGTCCCCTTCTAGACTTGAGTCCTTGAGGACACAATAAATGTCTCCTTTATATTTATATGGTGTCACTTAATACAAAGCATATAATAGGCACTCAGTATTATTCAGCTGAATTATATTATGTTGGTCATTTTAATGATTCTGCTTAATATGCTTTAAAATGTTGTTTATATATTCCTAAATGTATAAAAGACCTTTGTAAAACTGTGTCCAGTTTCAGAATAAAAATATAAATAATTTTAAAAGGATGTATTGATATTTAAACTATTTAGGTGAATGAGAGACCAATGACCTACAACTATAAATTGATATACATATAAGGTAGGGGATTTAGAGTTTTATGAATACATATATTTGTTAAATCAAATTATGATATGGAAATCCTCAGGCATTTTAGAAACATGTTTGGAAAGATAGCTTATGAACAAAAGAAATTAAATATTATGTTTATCTGACACCTGAAATGACTGAGGAAGTTTGAGACTCTTACAATTGAAACATTCCTATTTTCTACTGGCTTTTAGGGCATAAGGAGAATTATTCTATAACTTGAATAATCAGTAGCTAATCAAAGAGCTTGGAAATTCTCTAGGCTCTTCCTTTTTTCTATGTAATTGATTATACAATAATTGATTAAATTTTCCTTAAAATTTTATTTTAACTTGTTAACTCTTTTTCCCCCTACCCAGTGTAGTGACTATGACCTGGAATTTGGAACTGAATGTTTGCAACTGGCTCTAAAATACTGTCATGTCAAAGCCAAACTTGTGGAAGGATCACCTGATCTCTGGAAGGTAATGGAGTTGGTACTTTGTTCTGGGAATTGTCTGTGCTTATGTCATTCCTGAAGACACATGTTGCAAGTACAAACAACTTATACAGGTGCTTTAGAAAACGGGGAAGTAGTATAAAAATACTTGGTTTCATGCTGAAACACTTTCTGGAAGAAAAGGTGTGTGTGTGTGTGTGTGTGTGTGTGTGTATGCCTACATTAAGGGATTTAAAAGTATCATTTCTATTCTTTGGTTTTAAGAAAATTTACTTTGACACAATTTATTTTTAAAAATCTAGTTAGCTAGTAAGACTGCTTTATTCACATTTTTTTTCTTGTTTTCTATGTGTGTCCTTTTACTCTATTTCCTTACACTCAACTGGATTTGAGGATAGAACTCTGCTTTCCACAATAGTCCTGGGGTGGGAGTGCCACTTTTTTTGGAATTATGATATGCTTTAACAGGATCTTGAATTCTAATGGGGCATGCAATGCAATGGATTGGGCAAAAAAGTATTTCATATGACAGTTATGTGGCCTTTTATAGATATCACATTTCTTTTCTTAAGTGAGGTGACATTACTTAGAGTATAAATATTGCAGTTGTTTCTGGTTCCCTGTTTCCTTCTCCTGCCTCCTGTCATTCATTATCTTCCACCATTATATCTCTATATATAAAACCCTAATATGCAAATAGACTGAACAGCAGAACAACTGAACAACCAGTCGCTATGACGTGCGTTTACCACCAGGGGATATGCGCAGAACATGGCAGGCGTCGGCCACGGTGGGATAGTGGAGTAGGTGAGCGGGGGCACCAGGCCAAGGCGGGGTGCCAGTCGCTGTCATCGGGGGAGCCTCTGGTGATTATTGAAAATTCTTTGCTCCCCTGCACCGCAGTCCCACCCGGTGCTCACACCTGCTGCCAGCACTGGCCCTGCTTGCATTTGCTGCCGGTGCCGGAGCTGCCATTTGCACCGACTGCTGGTGCCTGGTGCCGGCCTCAATCGCTCAGCGCCGTCAGCAGGTGCCAGTGGCAGCTGCCGGCCCCGATCACCCCTCAGGTCTTCTCCACCTCCCCCTGTTCCCGAGGGGTGATCGGGGCCAGCAGCCGCTACTCACACCCACTGCTGGTGCCGGCCCTGCTGCTCACACCCACTGCTGGCGCCGGGCACCAGTTCCGATTGCTTGGTGCCGTCAGCTGGTGCGAGCAGCAGCTGCTGGCCCCAACCACCCCTGAGGGCTTCTCCACCTCCCCCTGCTCCTGAGAGGCAATCGGGGCAGCAGCTGCCGCTCGCCCCCTCTGATGGCTCTAGCCCCACTTGCACCCACTGCTGGCGCCAGCCCCAATCGCTCTGCGCCATCAGCTGGTCATCAGCTTATGGGAGTTGCGGCGGCAGGAGTGGGACTGCCGGCAGATGGGACTGGGGGCCGCGGTGGGAGGGGTCAGGTGGGGGCACAGAGGATGGGCTGAGACCCGCCCCTGTGCCCACTGCAGCCTCATGGCCCACAGTTCCTTTCAAGGTACATGAATTCGTGCACTGGGCCCCTAGTTTTTTTTTATAATTTCCCAGCTGTTTATTTAGCCCTATTTAGCCTCTTATGATGACATTGTATGAGATGTCTTTAGTATAGGCTTCTAATTTAATTAATTTTATGGTATTACCATTTTGTATGGATAAAGATGATTTCAGTTGCTTTTAAACCAAAACAATGGAATATATGCTTTGACATTAGTGTTCTAATTCTATAATAATTCCAATGATTCTACCATTGACTAAAACTCAGATTTGAGAAAAGATTTAGTATAATTACGCTAAAATTAGTATTGGACTCAGGTGGCTGTGCCAAGTACCTGGAGCATGATTCAGAAATCTGACAGTGACAAACTCATCTCAAGAGGCATGGCACTACCAGAAAACAGCAGGGCCAGGACACCTTCCCCTACCTTTCCGAAGTCAGGGTGTTCACCCTCTCAGTGGTGTGAGGAATGACTAGGACTGTTACTCTGATACCAGAAATGCCAGGAGGGTTATTATTTCTGTATTTTACATACATTATTTTTTTTTTTGGTAGAAATAAATGTAAAAGGTAAAATTCAGAGTTGATGCCAATGTTTTTGCAGCAGGTACCCTGGGGCATGGAGGAAACATCAGTTTTTTCAAATCTCCCTGCAGAGAGGAGGACATCCCCATAAATGAGCCACCCCCTCCCCAAAGAGTGACCAACCACAGAAGAGAACAGGACTGACTCCAGGAATAGGTGTTAGCTCTCATGCTTTCTGAGTGCTGGTGCCTTGTCAGGCTCAGTGAACGCATTCTGTACTCAGTGGAATTCCATCTCGCCTATAGGACTTCCATCTCTTTAATGTATGGATGTGCCGTGTTTTTGTCCCAATATAATTAAATATTTGATCACTGACTACACTGTACAGATCTAATTGAACAGACTTCCTGTTTCTAAATGTAAAACCATCCTCAAGGCTTGAAAGATTTATAGGAGTTTTATAACCAGTTATTTAAGAAATTCAGCTGTGTCCCGTTGTCTGAAAAGGCTTCTTTAGGAGGAGTTTCTGAAGCGTTTGAGTCATCATAGTATTACTCAATGGAATGGCTGACTCTTGAGGATTCCTTTTGATGTGAACTTTTTTTTAAGAGCCAAGTGTTCTAGCATCCTTGTTAAGAACCAAAGAAACAAAACAGTCTCACTTTTTGCCTTTTTTTTTAAAATCTCAAAAATACACTGTGGTGGCATAATTCCTTTTTTGGAGGTTTTCATCTAGCTATTCAGTCTAAAGGAAAGAATATTTTCAACATAGATGTAATTGATGAAATAGAAATAAATATAATAAATATCCCCTAGTCTACGTTTGTATCTAGTAAACATCATATATCTTTAAATCTTAAGATTTTCTGGATTCTAATTACTGGAGTTACATATTCATTTCCTCATGCAGTGAAAGGTGGGAGAACATTCAGTGTAGTATAACTTAACTCATGTAAGATGATAGCCAACTGGACTTGGCCCTGAAAAGTCTCATTTACTATATTGAGTGTTAATGCAGATGGAACAACACAAAATAGGTGTGACAGTGTTTGCGTTTTTTTGGTGCTCACCTGGAGGTAGCTGAGAGAGCCCTGGCCTAGTAGTTGGAAGAAAACTATCTCTGTGGCTCTCAGTTTCAAGTTTTTCTTCCATTGAAAAAAATACATATATGTATGTATACACATGTATACATGCATATGTGTATATATGTATGTATATTTCGTGTGTGTGTGTGTGTGTGTGTGTGTGTGTCCTAAACACTTTACCCAGATGAAATATTGCAATGAAGCACAGTTGAGCTACACAGACAGAGCTTGAGCTTCACTAGATGAGTGGCAGGTGTGGGGCTCAGACTCTCAGCTGCACAGAGCCCCTCCCCTCGAGTGCAGGTGGCCCCTGAGGCTCTAAAGCCCCTGTGTGAAAACAAGTAAATCAGAGGACCAGGGCTCCCTCCCATCACTACAAGGTTGATTTTTTTAAAAAGTAACTGTCATAATGTGTCATGTAAAGACAAAGAAAAACTGTAGGTCATGCTGACAGAAGAAAATCAACTTCAAAACTGATCATTAAACTGTTTTTGAAATTAAAAATAAGGAAAGGGCAACCTATATTACTATAAGAGTCTGACAGAAAAGGAGTAAGTCATTAATTCAGAATTACACTTCCCAGTACTTTTCCCTTTGATATATATTAGAAAAAAGGGCTGTTTTAGACTCAGTACTTAACAAGTTTAACAGGAATATTTTGTTATTTACTTTATTACAACAGTGTTAGAGAAGTATTGCTGAGGTATTCAATAAGGCTTTATGTTGAAGATATTAATAAAATACAAAACCTTTAATCAGCACATAGTTGGTATTCACAGCCTATAAGAAAAAAGTAGACAAAAAAAAGGAAATTTAGGACTCTTTCTTGTTTGCACAGTTAATTATTTAATAATAGTGGCGAGAGGACCTTTGGGTAATAAAGACATGTATTTTATTCATAAAACAGACTCCAATGCAAAAATGTTGTCATGGAAGTATGCTAGAAAAACATTTTAGTATTTGAAACCAAGTTTTCTTTTAATTAAAACCATCAGTAAGATTTATTTGAGAAAAAAAAAGGGACTTTCACAATTCTATTTTAAGTTGGAATGCAGTCTTATCCCTCAACAAAAGCAGGAGGGGATAGAGATGAATAATGGTAATTAAGGTAATTAACCACCTTCCCATTAATTTCTAAGTTTATCCTACACAGTGGACAAATGTAGAAAAAAGGCATTTTCTCATTTAAATTGCAAACATTGAATCTTGATTTCAGATACCTAGCTAACTTTGATTTTTCAAACAACTAAAGAAAAACATTTAACACTTTCTTTTGGAGTTTTATTTATTTACTTATTTATTTTTAAAATTTCTTTATTGATTAAGGTATTCATGCATACAAGTCCTTTGGTTGATCTCTCCCCCTTACCCCCACCCTCCCCTACCTTCCCTCTGAGGTTTGACTGTCTGATCAATGCTTCTCTGTCTTTTATAAGAAAAATCTCTCCACTAAAATGTAGTCCACTCAAGTGAAGGAGTTTTGCCCATTCTTTTGAATCCTCTGTTGCCCACACTTAGAACAGGTCCTTGAATAGGACCTAGAACACAGTAGTTATATGGTAAGTATTTGTTAAATGAATGAATGAGATCAATACATCCTTTAATTTGGTTAAATGCACAGCATGAACTTTTAAATGTCTGTTTTCTATTTTTTTCCAGATAGTAGATCAGTAACTATAGTACTAGTTTTGGTTGGCATGTCCTTGATTTAGAGATAATGTAGCAATGTCACATTTAATTTAAATAGATTAGTTGAATGCTTGAGCAACTTCTCATCTATCTTACAAATTGACTGCTACTTTAATTCTGGATTGTAGTTTTGGGCTAGGATTTATCAGCCAGGATAAAGGCATAGCGCAGGAATCTATTTTGGGTAGAAGTGCCCTGGGCCACTTGAGCTGAGCAAAGTTTCTGTACTAGTGTAGTTATGAGATAATTTGGAGGGGAAAAATAGTTTCAATTGTAGGCATAGAAAGGTACTAATTTGGTGAATACTTCTCAAAGTGGGTTTTTAGACCACTTGCATTCTAATCATCTGGGCACTTGAATGATGAGCTCCTAAGACCTTATAGTATTTATTAGTAAGTTCACTACTTACTACATTTTCAGTTCTATGGTATAGGAGAACTATTCTGTGATGCAGTACACCTGACATGTTCTATATCTGAGCTCACTGATGTGGCCTGGGACGATCTGCCATAGGACCATGTCAGGTTACATTACAAAGAGCCCGTTACAATTGCAAGGAGGCTGCGTGTTTTTAAGGAAAGATTGTGATTATTCTCATGCACACGGTGGTGCCTTCTCTGCTCTTTTTATCAGAGCCATAAAATCCTCATAAGGTGAACCTTGTGGGTACATACAGACATCCTCAATTCAGAAGAAACTCCCTTCTTAATGTGAATTGACCTTTGAGAATTTCCTCATTTCAACTAAAAATGTGATTTGGTGATTTTTGTTATACTTACCTTTTCTTCCTTCCTAAGTAAAAACCTCACTATTAAACAATAATTCTAATACTTCAATATAAACACTACCACATATTCTTTGATAAACTTCTGTTACATTAATAAGAATTCAATAAACAAATCTTTAACCATTTGTAGAAATAGAATACATTATTCAGAATTTGCTGATGTTGATGTAATTTAGAAATTGTCAGTATAATGTATTTATAGTTTCTCTAAAATCAAGAATTTCCTTGGGGGCATAATTTTATTGCTCTCACATTCCTTCCTGCTCTGTTAAGTCTAATGAGGTTTATCTGTCCTTTAGGTGACCTACAAACGAGATTTGTATGCAGCTGAATCGATTATTAAGGGTATGTTTGGCCTTGTGACTCTCAGTTCCTGTGTTTCAGAAATGTAAGCCAGTTCAGAATTTCTCATGACATTTTAGATCTCACAATTCTCAGAAGTATAAATGCCCGTAGGCCATGGAAGTCTGTGATTTGCTTTTTTGAAAAATAATTACATGTTGCTTTGTTTCCCGCTTGTGAAATATCACTTATTATGTGTGATTTATGTCATATTGGTCTTACTTTTTATAGAGGAAATGCTTTATTAATTTGAAGAAAGTATGGGGCATTGGCACTATTCAAAATAGAAACCGATATTTTAGTAAATTTATAAAGATTTTATATTTTACTTTTACTGTTAAGAGGACTGATCCCCCATCACTATAATATCAGTACATTAGAAAGCGTCTTTCATATGAAAATATTATTCCCAAAACACAGAGATTGGACTGACTGACTTTTTAAATTTTTTTCTGGTTCTGACAATGACTAATTTTGTTTGGTAGTTTGAGACATTACATGTATAATAACCCCTTTCTCATTCTTTTTCATCTCTATGACTCCAAGGCCCCAGCTACACAGAGGTAATTTATTTAATAATCAACAAATATTTATCCCTGTGCTTCACACTGTGCTTGGAATATAATAATGATGCCTATACAGAACATCAGTTGCTTAAAGCAAGGTTTCCTGGCCTTGGCATTGTTGGCATTTGAGGTTGGGTAATTCTTTGTTGAGGGCACTGTTTCCTGCATTGGGTGTTGAGCAGCAAGCCTGGCCCCAGCTCACCACATACAGAAGCACTCCTCCCTCCCTCCTTCCCTCCCTCCCATGGTGGGAACACCAGAGGTGTGTTCTGGGGGCAGCACTGTGTGAAAGGCATGGTCCTGGCAGAAATCAAGGGGGTCCACCCCCAGCCCTGAAGCAAGTGCAATGCCTTTCAAGGTCAGTAACTGATTTCTTTAAAAATAGATTGAGGACAGAACTGTGTGCTCAGTTTCTGAGAGGTGAACTTGTAAACTTGTTTGAAAGGTCAACTTGTACATTCAAACTTGGAAGTTGAAAAAGAAAACGAAATCTGAATTCTGAATACATCAGTCTATTATAAAGTTTTGGGAAAACCACCTATTTAACAATCAAAAAACTGAAATCTTTTTTCTGGTCATGACATTCTTTATTTATAGTTTACCCTCCAGGTTTTTTGTCCTTTAGGAATATTGTGTTTCAAACCATTAATGTACTGTAATTTGTGTCTGTGTATCTGTGTATATAAACAGATCACCTATAGCTATAAATCAAACTGTTGACATATATTTACATATGAGCCAGGGGATGTGTAAACATTACTTTGGAGAAGTTGGCTAAACCATGATGTGGTTGGGTTACATTCTCAACACAAGGAAATATAAAACTCAGTTTGGTTTCTTTACAAAGCCCTATCTCTGTTAACTAGGTGAAATGGAAATGATCTATTTTGTGACTAGTTGGTAAGTGGTTCTATACACTTCTGCCTCTATATCCTCAGAGCAGGCTTCTTAGTATGCCAAAGCCTACATTTTAAGTGTAATTGCAGGGCCTATAGTTTTGGTAATTGCTTGCAGAGAGAAGTCAGTTTTCTTATTTAGGTGACATAGTCTCCTAGACTCCTTTTATTTTTAATGTATTTAAAAAGTATTCTACTTTTATTCCCAGGAAAAGTCTGCCTGGATGTAAACAGCCGATTTAGATCAACGATCTCCCAGCATTTCCTTAGGCCCCAGGGTTTGCTTTTCTAATAACTCCCAAGAGATTCTGATGTTGCCAAGTCACAGTGAGGACCACTGCTCTGGGGCCTTCCTACTCCCCGTGTGGGTCAGCAGCCTTCTGACTCCCTGAGAACTTGAATGCAGAATTCTGGCCCCATCACATTAAGTTAGAATCTGTATTTTAACAAAAACTCTGGCTGATTAGTTTGTACATTAAATTCAGGAAACATTCCTCTAGGTTGCTCTTCATTGTTCATTTCTTTCCAAATAATATATCTGTGCATTAAGAGCTTGGCATCCTAGTACGTTCCATCAGCTCCACATGCCTGTTCGCTCCGCTGAGATTGCCACCTGCCTCCAGGACGTGCACTAATACTACTACCTCTGAGGCCTGATGGTAGAAATACCTCTGGGCAGAGGAAAAAGAAAACTCTTAGATTTTTAAAAATAAAATTCCAAAATATGATATGGTATAGAGCCGGATAACTATCTGAACTCTGTATTCACCTGTTTGCCTTTTCCTAGTAAATGTTCAAAGTATTTTTCTAGGCACTTTCTTTACACGGTATTTATTGGTATTTACTTTGTGCCAGGCATTGTTTATAGCATTTTGTATGGATCATTTCTTGCTTCTCCAGGAACTCAGTGATGTAAGTAGTGTTATTGTTTCCATATTACACAATATCCAAGGTTTCTAAGCTAATTCTAACTTAAGAGGGATAGAAAATACATTCTTCAATCCAGGTTTCCACCTTAAGCAGTTTACCTCTTCATAATGTTACTCTCCCTTTTATTCCTTAAGTAGAGATTGTTCAGATTCCCTTGTCTGAAATCCTTGGGCTACGTGTGTTTTGGAACTTGGAATACTTTATATTCTCCAAAGCTACTGCATTACACCACTTATTATGTCACATCATCAGTGGGATTTGGGACCTCACCACATAACAAGACTGCAATATGTAAATGTTTACATTCAATACAAGGGTAATGGCTATTGAGCCTCTAGCCAGTTCAAGTGTAGGACTGATTTGGCCACCAAATTTATATATTGAAACAGTTTAAAAAATTTATTTTAAGAACTTTTTGGATTTCAGCATTGCCCATAACTTGATGTGAACCTCTTTTAGGTTGTGAATCAATGAAGGTGGGAAGAATGTCTAGTCTTTTTTTCTTTTGCATCTTCTAACATTGAGTTGAATTGAATTGAGCGGTATGTCCAAGGGTGCAGCTACACGTGTGTTTTCCTTTTGAGTCTGGGGACCTTAAATTGTGGGAATAAGTATGTGGCCATTCCCTCTCACCTTTCTACTCTACCTTCTTTCAACAGATGCATGTTGAGGTCTAGTGAATCTATCCCAAAATCATATATCTTTATTTTTTTAAAAATAGAGAGAATATAATATTTGATTATGCATTTTTGTCAAGGTGTAAAACCATGGCATGTACTTTATATATGTTATCCTCATTTATTCTTTATAATAACGCTGTACAATAGATATCATTGCTCCCTTTTGCAGGTGGAAACACTGAGACTTAGAGGGTACTTCCTCTGGATCACACAGTAAGAGCCAGATCCACAATTCAAACCCACATCTCTCCTTTCCTTAAGTGTGACTCCACTCTGGATCTTGGGCACTTTGTACTTCTGAGTCATGGAGCTACTCATGCTCCCCACTGAAGTGAACACTGGATTCAGTATCTATCTTTGGAGGGTACAGCAGATGGCTTGAAAAATTCAGCCTGCCCAACTCTGGTTCTGTTGGGTTAAAACTGTATCTTCAGTTGGCCTGATAAAGAACAATAACACAATTGAGACTCAAAATGTTTTGCACCAATGCTGGGACAAGCACACGGTAGTCTTCTAGAGAGCGTGGGCAAAACATGTAACATTGAAATGACCAGAGAAAGAGAAAAGATTAAAATTCAAAATAAAAATAATAATTTTAAAAGGATTGGATGGGTACTGTTTAGTTTTTTCCATCTTGTGCTAATTCCGCCAGTTTAGCGTGTGTTATCTAGCCGTAATAGTTTTTCTCTTCTAGGGTGGAACTCTTTTTTTTAATGATGTGATATGGGTGCCTAGTATTCTGTAAGTTCCTCCTGAGCTGCTTATTTTTAACCTGATTACCAATTATTGCTGGTTTAAAAGTTATATTTTTAATTAAAAAATGTTTTTATTGATTTCAGAGAGAGAAAGGAAGAGTGAGGGAGGGATAGAAACATCAATGATGAGAGAGAATCATTGATCAGACGCCTCCTGTACGCCCCCTACTGAGGATTGAGTCCTAAACCCCACATGTGCCCTGACCGGGAAAAAACTGTCACCTGGTTCATGGGTTGATGCTCAACCACTGAGCAACACCAGCTGGGGAAAATTATATTTTGATGTAACTATTTTCAGTTTAGTTTTTACAGACTGGATAAAACATTTCTTTGTTAAGTGTCATGTCTTGCAGGAGCATTTTATACTCTCAAATGTACTTGTCAACTGGAACAGCATGTATATTTTGGTCCATCTTAATTTATGTGCAAGTCTATATCTTTAGTTCAGTATGGGAGTTTTTTTTTAAAGTATGTTTTTATTGATTTTAGACAGAGAGAGGAAGGCAGACAGGTAGGGAGACAGAAACATTGTTTAGAGAGAAACATCTGTCTGCTGCCTCCTGCATGCCCCCTACTGGGGATCGAGCGCTCAACCCTGGCATGTGCCCTGACTGGGAAGCAAACCTACGCCCTCTTGGTTAATGGGTTGATGCTCAATCACTGAGCCACACCAGCTGGGCAAATATGGGAGTTTTGATGTAACTAACTTTAGATAAACTTTTGACTAAGATTCCTGAATTGTGGTTTATAGCAAGTCTCAAAATTTGAACTTATTTCATGTTGTTAGATAAGCTTTATTTTTAAGTTTATTTTAGCACCAATATATTCAGCTGGATTTTTATTTGTAGTAAACTATTCAACAATAGGATACATGTTTTTAAACTAGTACCCCCATATTTGTCCTTTACACAGTCATCTGCAATGAAAAATGTACAGTTAATCACATATTTACTGTTATGTCACACAACATTCTTAATATTCTTTTTTTTTTTGAGGCAGAGAAATGGACTTGGAAATTTTTTCTTTAGTTTTTATCCTCTTTAGGCTTCTATTATGAGTGAAATTTAAAACATAAACTTTTCTAGGGAGTAATGTGATTAATTGGGACAAGACACTGGACTGACTTGTAAGTGTGTAAACAGCCACTTAACAAAGAAAGTTTTGTACTTTTGTCACACAAGCTGGTTGAGCCCACCCAAGCCTGCTCTGTATGTTCAAACCTACTCAAACTATTAAAGTGATGACAGATGCCAGCAGTAACATACGTTATCTAGACCCTCATATGCCATACAAAGAGTCCCAACCCACATTTAATATGCTGACCATATTCTGGCAAAAGGATCAGTATTCTAAAATCTTCTGAGAAGAAAAGTCCCTATGGAACTCCTAAATAAATGATTGTGCTTATTTTCCACCATCATTCTTCTTAAATGTTTCAATATATGTAATTTTGTGGCTTAAGAGTATTTTAAAACTCACTAGATTTTATTCTTTTTTAGTTATGATTGTACAAACCTAAGAAAACTTGTGATTTAAAAAAGCCTCTTTTCATATAGTGGTTTATATAAAAATGGAAAAATAAAATAGTTAAAATTCAAAATTATTTATTTTTAAGTGGCATTAGTTAATATTAGTTTCAAATGGTTAATATTAATGTTCATGTAAAAATTCATGTCTTTTCCCAGTTATATGTAATGTTTTTACTTGATAAGCACTTCATTTTAAAGGAAATTAAT